GAGTGGTCTGCTTCTGCACCAAAGACCGATTCTCCTCAACGTCAAGGCTCCAGGCCCAGGGACTGCGCATCCTGCCCACAACACACAGTGACCTGCCGAGTCAAGCGCAGTTGGCACAGAGCTGGGTGGGGGGAGGGGGCTCCCCGTCACGGGGAGGGGGCAGCCCTGCAGGGGGTCCATGGGGTCGGAAGGGGAACTGCAGCTGAGACCAGAGCCAAGGGGATTACTTGGGGGGAGGCGTGTACTCGGTGTGTGTCCTGCTGCCCCTGGTGACTATGATCAGAACTGCCCCCACTCTGGGTGTGTGTGATGGACTCCCAGGCCCTGGGCTCTCTCGGCTCCGTACGGCCCCTGGGAGACCCCCCTTTGGTGTGACAGCCCCCCCCCCCGAGGGGCGCACTCGCTCTCCAGGGTTAGGCCCTCTGGCGCCGCCACCTCCTGGGGCCGCACCTCTGAGCCTCCTGCCTCACTAGCTCTCTCTGGGTGCTCCCTTGGAGGGGTCCCCACACTCTGACCCCCCAGGGCTGCCACCCCCAGAGGGAGCGATGCCCCCGATCTCCAGCCAGTGTAAAACAGGAGGTTTATTGTACGGCCGAACCCAGCCCAGGCAGTGCTCAGGGGCTCAGGCCTGGCCAGTCTCAGCACCGTCCAGCCGGGTCTGTCCCAGTCCAGGTGGGCTCCGGCTGCTCTTTGTCCCCAGCCCAGAGCGAGCTGCTTCCAGCCGACCGTCGGATATCACCTCCCCGCAGCCCCTGCTCCGCCCTGTGTCTTCATTCTGGGCAAACAGGTCACCGGGGTCCTCTCTCCTCAGCCCTTTGTCCTCCCACTGGCCAGAACCGGCTGGCGGCCAAGCTGGGGTGGGCCCCTTAGACACCAGGTCACCAGTTGTTCGGGTTCCCCATCTCCAGGCTGTTGTCTGGGGTTCCGGCTGCCAGGCGAGGTCACACCTGGTCCTCTGCACCAACCAACCCTCGCCCACCACCTTGTTACACATGCAGTGCACAGGGAAACTGAGGCACACACAGTATTCATGCAAAACACTACGAAAATCCCCCGCTTCGTGACAGTGTGTCCCTGCTGCCCCCTGGTGGCTGGGCTCAGATCTGCTCTGTGTGTGTGTGTGTGAATTGGCATGTCTGTGAGCTTGGGCTCACTTTGACCAGCGACTCTGGTTTGGCGCGTGGGGTTTCGGTGTCCCAAATTACTCAGCTGCGGCAGTAACTGGACAGCCGTGCCCCTTCCCTCCCCCGCCCTCTGACAAACATGCGGCGGGGCGGGGGGGGGGGGGGGGGGCGCTGGTGAAGAATCACCTGAACGGATCTGGAGCTCCCAGGCCGAAAGGGCCGATGTGATCCTGGGATGTCTAAATCTCAAGGAGGAGCAGAGAGGTGATTTCCCCTCAGGATCTGGCCCTGGGGCGACTGCTGCCGGGATCCCGTGTCCCGTTCTGGTGCCACCTTTCAAGAAGGATGTCGATCTATTGGCGAATGGTCAGAGAAGAGCCACGCGGATGATAAAGGGTTAGAAAACCTGCCTGAGAGCGAGAGACGCCAGGAGCTCCAGCTGTTTCGCTGAACAGAGAAAAAGTCCAGGGGTGACTTGATCCCAGTCTATCGGTACCTACGTGGGGAACAAAGATTTAATAACCGGCTTTTCAGTCTAGCAGAGGAAGGGCTAACACGATCCGAGGGCTGGACGTTGAAGCTAAACAAATCCAGACTGGAAATAACGTATGTTTTTAATGGAGAAAACAGTTGACCAAGGGTGGGGGTGGATTCTCCATCCCCGACAGCATTTCAAGCAAGTTCGGATTTGTTCTAAAAGGTCTGCGCTAGGAATTATTTCGGGGCAGTTCTCTGGCCTGCGTTATACAGGAGATCACATTACGTGATCAAAGTGGTCCCGTCTGGGCTGAGAATCTAGGAATCTGTGACCCTCTGCCTAGCTCCAGGCCGAAGGGGGCGCTCTCCGCCCCAGCATGGCTTCCCCCAGGGGCATTGATCCATGGCTTTCACAGCATTGCCAAGTCTGGGGGATTTTATTCCAAGTCTTGCCATTTTTGCTACTTCCCTTAAAGCTTCCAGCTCCTGCTGCCACAGGGGTTATGGGACATTTTTGTTTGCAAAAACCGGCAGTTTCTAGCATTCCTGGTTGAGTGGGGAAGTTGGCAAATGTGGGGATCAAAAGAAAATAAAACACAAAAAACAAATCGACAACATAAAAAAAACCAAACAGAAGGCAAATTAAAAGACCCTGCTTTTGAAACGAATCTCACAATTTCTAAACCACTTTTGTGATTTTTAAGCCAGGCTCCTGATTTTTTAAAACCAGGGTCACTCTTTGTCAACCAATCTTGCAAGGTTTTTAACCACTCGCCCCACTTTAAAACCAAGCTCTCATGGTTGGTTGGTTTTTTAACGGCACCTTTGAGTTTCAGGCTGATCCTGCGATTTTTAAAACTGCCTCGCTGTTGTTTGAGAGACTCTCAGGATTTTTTCAAGCCGTGTCCCGGTTTCTATTGCAGCCAAGCGCACGATTTGGAAAGCGAGCTCCTAATTATTAAAGCCACGTTCCCTAGTTTATAAACCACGCTCGGTATTTTTAAAACCAGTCTCATGATCACAGAGCAGAACTGATCATTTGTGCGTGTGGGTGGTGTGTGAGGGGGGTGATTTGTGGTTTTTGCAGTGCTCAGGGGCTGGCAAAGGGAGTTTTTGCTGCCCAGGAGGTCGCCTGTCCAGATGAAATTTCAGAGGCATTTAGAAGCAGGGCCAGCTCCAGGCACCAGCTTGCCAAGCAGGTGCTTGGGGCGGCCACTCCGGAGGGGGGCGGCACGTCCAGCTATTCGGCGGCAGACAGTCCCTCACTCCTGCTGGGAGCAAAGGACCTCCCGCCGAATTGCCGCTGCAGATCGCGATCGCGGCTTTTTTTTTTTTTTTGTACCGCTTGGGGCAGCAAAAACCCTGGAGCCGGCCCTGTTTAGAAGTTTGGAAAGGTATTAACATGGGTTGTCATAATTTCAAATTTAATCCCCAATAGCCTTG